TATTACCTGACAGTTTCTGTGCCAGGAATTTGGGAGTGGCTTAGTTGGGTGACTGCTCAGGGTTTTTCATAAGATTGCTGTCAAGATGTTGGATGCCTTGAAGCCATTTGAAGGCTTCACTGCAGTATTCAATTCAAAGATACTTCTATGGCTATTGGCCAGAGGCCTCAACCTCTAGTCTTCTGACCAAGGATCCTCTTTGCAGGAATGCTTGAGTGTTCTTTCTTTGTTTTGTTTTGATTCTTTTTGAGATGGTGTCTCACTATGCTGCCCAGGCTGGAGTGTGGTGGTGCAGTCTTGGCTCACTTCCACCTCCGCCTCCCAGGTTCAAGCGATTCTCCTGGCTCAGCCTCCCGAGTAGCTGGGAGTACAGGCACCTGCCACCACATGCTAATTTTTGTATTTTTAGTAAAGATGGGGTTTCATCATGTTGGATAGGCTGGTCTCGAACTCCTGACCTCAAGTGATCTGCCTGCCTAGGCCCCCAGAATGCTGAGATTACAGATGTGAGCCACCATGCCTGGCGAAGTGTTCTTATTACATAGAATCTGGTTACTACTAAAACAAGTGATCTAACAGCAGCGTGGGCAAAGAGGAAGCTGCAATGCTTTTTTTTTTTTTTTTTTTGAGACAGTTTCTCTGTATTGCCCAGGCTGGAGTGCGATGGCGTGATCTCAGCTCACAGCAACCTCCGTCTTCCGGGTTCAAGTGATTCTTGTGCCTCAGCCTCTCGAGTAACTGGGATTACAGATGTACGCCACCACACCCAGCTGATTTTTGTAATTTTAGTGGAGATGGGGTTTCACCATGTTGGTGAGGCTTGTCTAATTCCTGGCCTCAAGCAATCTGCCCGCTCTGGTCTCTCAAAGTATTGGGATTACAGGCTTGAGCTACTGCTCCCAGCTGGAAGCCTCAATGCCTACTATGACCTGGTCTTGGAAGTCACACATTGTCACTTTCCTCATATTATTTGCTAGAAATAAGTCACTATAACCAGCCCACACTCAAAGAGTAAAGAATTAGGGGCTGCTTTTGAAGGGAGCAGTATCAAATAATTTGTTGTAATATTTTAAAGCTATTGCAATGGACTTGAGGGTTGTTTTTAGATTTTGGCTGTTACAAATAAAGTGCTTATAAAATATATGTAAAAATATTTGTAGACATATAGTTTTATTTCTTTGTATGAATTGCTAGGAGTAAAGCAGCTAGTTTGTAAGATAGCATTATGTTTAAATTTTTACTCCTTTTACACTGAAGACTTAATATATTATCTGTATCTAAGGCCTTGAGGAATCGCCACACTGTCTTCCACAATGGTTGAACTAATTTACACTCCCACCAACAGTGTAAAAGTGTTCCTTTTTCTCCACATCCTCTCCAGCATCTGTTGTCTCCAGATTTTTTAATGATCGCCATTCTAACTGGCGTGAGATGGTATCTCAATGTGGTTTTGATTTGCATCTCTCTGATGACCAGTGACGATGAGCATTTTTTCATATGATTGTTGGCCTGTCTTCTTTCGTAAAGTATCTGTTCATATCCTTTGCCCACTTTTGAATGGGCTTGTTTGTTTTTTTCCTGTAAATCTGCTTGAGTTGTTTGTAAATTCTGGATATCAGCCCTTTGTCAGATGGGTAGACTGCGAAAATTCTTTCCCATTCTGTTGGTTGCCGATCCACTCTAGTGACTGTTTCTTTTGCCGTGCAGAAGCTGTGGAGTTTCATTAGGTCCCATTTGTCTATTTTGGCTTTTGTTGCCAATGCTCTTGGTGTTTGTTCATGAAGTCCTTGCCTACTCCTATGTCCTGGATAGTTTTGCCTAGATTTCCTTCTAGGGTTTTATGGTGCCAGGTCTTATGTTTAAGTCTTTAATCCATCTGGAGTTAATTTTAGTGTAAGGTGTCAGGAAGGGGTCCAGTTTCTGCTTTCTGCACATGGCTAGCCAGTTTTCCCAACACCATTTGTTAAACATGGAATCCTTTCCCCATTGCTTGTTTTTGTCAGGTTTATCAAAGATTGTATAGTTGTATGTATGTTGTGTTGCCTCCGGTGCCTCTGTTTTGTTCCATTGGTCTATATCTCTGTTTTGGTACCAGTACCATGCTGTTTTGATTACTGTAGCCTTGTAGTATAGTTTGAAATCCGGTAGTGTGATGCCCCCCGCTGTGTTCTTTTTGCTTAGAATTGACTTGGCTATGCGGGCTCTCTTTTGGTTCCATATGAAGTTCATGGTGGTTTTTTCCAGTTCTGTGAAGAAAGCCAATGGTAGCTTGATGGGGATAGCGTTGATTCTGTAAATTACTTTGGGCAGTATAGCCATTTTCACGATATTAATTCTTCCTAACCATGAACATGGAATGTTTCTCCATCTGTTTGTGTCCTCTCTGATTTCGTTGAGCAGTGGTTTGTAGTTCTCCTTGAAGAGGTCCCTTACGTTCCTTGTGAGTTGTATTCCAAGGTATTTTATTCTTTTTGTAGCAATTGCGAATGGCAGTTCGCTCTTGATTTGGTTTTCTTTAAGTCTGTTATTGGTGTAGACGAATGCTTGTGATTTTTGCACATTGATTTTATATCCTGAGACTTTGCTGAAGTTGTTTATCAGTTTCAGGAGTTTTTGGGCTGAGGCGATGGGGTCTTCTAGGTATACTATCATGTCGTCTGCAAATAGAGACAATTTGGCTTCCACCTTTCCTATTTGAATACCCTTTATTTCTTTTTCTTGCCTGATTGCTCTGGCTAGAACTTCCAGTACTATATTGAATAGGAGTGGTGAGAGAGGGCATCCTTGTCTAGTACCGGATTTCAAAGGGAATGCTTCCAGTTTTTGCCCATTCAGTATGATATTGGCTGTTGGTTTGTCATAAATAGCTTTTATTACTTTGAGATACGTTCCATCGATACCGAGTTTATTGAGGGTTTTTAGCATAAAGGGCTGTTGAATTTTGTCAAATGCCTTCTCTGCGTCAATTGAGATAATCATGTGGTTTTTGTTTTTGGTTCTGTTTATGTGGTGAATTACGTTGATAGACTTGCGTATGTTGAACCAGCCTTGCATCCCTGGGATGAATCCTACTTGATCATGATGAATAACTTTTTTGATTTGCTGTCGTTCTACTATAAGGACACATGTACACGAATGTTCATTGTAGCACTGTTTACAATAGCAAAGACCTGGAATCAACCCAAATGCCCATTGATAATAGACTGGATTGGAAAAATGTGGCACATATACACCATGGAATATTATGCAGCAATCAGAAATGATGAGTTCGTGTCGTTTGTAGGGACATGGATGAATCTGGAAAACATCATCCTCAGCAAACTGACACAAGAACAGAAAATGAAACACCGCATATTCTCACTCATAGGTGGGTGATGAAAAATGAGAACACATGGACACAGAAAGGGGAGTACTAAACACTGGGGTCTATTGGGGGGAAAAGGGGAGGGCCAGTGGGAGGGGGAGGTGGGGAGGGATAGCCTGGGGAGAAATGCCAAATGTGGGTGAAGGGGAGAAGAAAAGCAAAGCACACTGCCATGTGTGTACCTATGCAACTGTCTTGCATGCTCTGCTCATGTACCCCAAAACCTATAATCCAATAAAAAATTAAAAAAAAAAAAAAAGAAGAAAAGCAATAAAAATTAGAGTTCAACAACATGATTTTCAAATTAAAACACACAACTGATAAAAAAAAAAAGATATTATCTGTAATACCTATTTGTTCTTGGATTTCTTCTGATTTAGTACATTTTAAATTTTATTCTACTTAAGTTTTGTCACCTCATTTCTGAGTTTCTAATCTGAATGTTTTACCTTTTTTTGAAATTGGTAGTTTACCATTTTATCTGTTTTGTGTGTCTTTGATGTACTTTTTTTTTTTTTTGTATGTTAGGATGTTATTCTACTTAGTTTTTCCCTAATAATGATTTTATGGGATTTAGATTTGATACCTTTCTGTTGCTTATTTTTGTGTCACAGTCTTCTTAAATGTTAGAAGGAGGCAGGATTTAGGATACTTTTTTTTTTTAAGAATGTAGGCTCTCACTGTGTTGCCCGGGTTGAAGTGCAGTGGTGCGATCATAGCTCACTGGTGCGATCATAGCTCACTGGTGCGATCATAGCTCACTGCAGCCTCAAACTCCTGGGCTCAGGCGATCCTCCTGATTCAGCCTCCTGAGTAGCTGGAACCACATTTGTGTGCCATCATGCCCAGCTCACTAAAAAGTTTTCTTTAAGAGATGGGGTCTTGCTATGTTGCCTGGGCTGGTCTTGAACTCCTGGGCTCATGAAATCCTCCTGCCTTGGCCACTAATAGTGTTGGGATTGTAAATGTGAGCCATGGCACCCAGTGAAGCTTAGCTTTTGTACCTTGTGTTGTTTTCATATGGCTTATAAAAATAGGGCCACTTGTGTATTTGTCTTACAGATTCTTCCCGAGTTTGCTCCATCTGGACTTTTTCTGTGTCTCTGCCACCCTGTGCTGCTGAGTGGATTCCACTCTCAACACTTTCAATGAGGGGCCCAGAAGGGATTCCACAGTGACCAGTTTCGGGTGGCCCAGGCTGCTCCCATGTCTTCACATCTTCTTACAGTGGCGCCCCTGCTCTCACCTAGATTCAGGCGCTGTTGTCAGTTCTGTCATACACTCTTCTCAGATCTGTCGTCTGCTCTTCTTCCTAGGGAGCACTGATACCTAGGTTCTCAGGGCCTCCTTGGCTCTCTTACTTTCCTTGGAGTCTTTCCTCTCAGATACTGATCCATGCCAGACCTTGGAGAGTTGGTGGTTTGTCTTTACCCACTTATGTCTTGGAGTTTGCTGATTAATTTTGTTCTCTGTTTTTGACTTTGCTGTCTAGTTGCTCTTTATGTGGAGATTTAGAGGCATTCAAAAACTATGCCTTTTCTGTTGCCACTCCTAGGTTTTCAAATTGTAAACTGTAAACTTAATGTCTATTTAATGAAGTTGATTTTGTTTGTTTTGTTTTTTCTTTTAATAATCATCTCCACAGAGAAAAAGGAGTTGGGATATAGAATGCCCATCCTTTCCAGGAGAAAGACCACTGCAGTTCCGAAAAGCAGGACTCAGGACACCTGGGGGAGCTGCCTCCCTCTCTGGAGCATGGCTTAGGTGTGGAGAAGGATTTCAGGACACTTCTGGGACTCTGGTAAAGTATCTGTAGAATTATTTTCCCTGAATGCCAAAGAAGAAATCCTATCTGAGTGTTCAAAACATTGTAATTACATTTCATTGAAATCCCTTTCTTATTCTTTTAGGTCACTGTAATTGGTGTACTCCTTTTACTTCCCTTTCATTCCTTGAATAATTGTGGCAAGTTAATATTCACATTTTTTTTTAACAGAGTCTCACTTTGTTGCTGAGACTGGAGTACAGTGGCATAATCATAGCTCACTCCAACCTCGAACTCCTGGGCTCAGGTTATCTTGCCTCAGCCTCTTGAATAGCTGAGACTACAGTTATACACTACCATGCCTAGCTAATTTTTTCTTTTTTTGAGATGGAGTCTCACTTTGTTGCCCAGGCTACAGTGCAGTGGCACTATCTTGCCTCACTGCAACCTCCGCCTCCCGAGTTCAAGCAGTTCTCCTGCCTCAGCGTCTTGAGTAGCTGGGATTACAGGTACATGCCACCACCCCCGGCTGATTTTTGTATTTTCAGTAGAGACCAGGTTTCACCATGTTGGCCAGGCTGGTTTGGAACTCCTGACCTCAGGTAATACACCCACCTTGGCCTCCCAGAGTGTTGAGATTACAGGCGTGAGCCACTGTGCCCGTCTGCCTGGCTAATTTTTCAAAAACTTTCTGTAGAGACAGGGTCTTGTGTTGCCTAGGCTGGTCTCTAAATCCTGGCTGCAAGAGATTCTCCCACATCCACCTCCCAGAGTGCTGGGATTATGGGTGTGAGCCACCGTGCCTAGCTATACTCACTTTTTAATTCATGCAGAACCTTTCTGCTTCTTTGTTTGTAAATGAAGGATATTTACTAAGAATGTTCTCAGAAGATGAAACCATTGAGTATACCACTCTTCACAAGAAATGTATTCATGAAGTGTTTATAGTGGCATATTCTGGAGATATTGTAGGTTTGCTTCAGGACCAAGGCAATAAAGTGATCACATGAATTCTTTGGTTTCCCAGTGCATATAAAAGTTATATTTATATTATACTGTAGTCTATTAAGTGTGCAATAACATTATGTCTAAAAAAGCAATGTACTTACCTTAGTTTAGAAATATTTTATTGCTAAAAAAAATGCTAATAATCATAGGAGGCTTCACCAAAGTATAATCTTTTTGCTAGGGGAGAGTCTTGCCTTGATGCTGATGGCTGTTGACTGATGAGGTTGTTGGTGGTTGAAGGTTAGGGTGGCTGTGGCAGTTTCTTAAAATAAGGCAAAAGTGAAGTTTGTCACATATATTTACTATTCCTTTCATGAAAGATTTCTGAGTAGCATGTAATGCTCATAACATTTGACCCATAATAGCACTTCTTTCAAAATTAGACTCAATCCTCCCAAAGCCTGCCACTGCTTTATCAATGAAATTTATAGGATATTCTGAATTCTTTATTATCACTTCAACAGTGTTCACAGCATTTTCACCAGGAGCAGATTTTATTTCCAGGAACCACTTTCCTTGTTCATCCATAAGAATTAACTCTTCCTACTCCTATGTCCTGGATGGTTTTGCCTAGATTTCCTTCTAGGGTTTTTATGGTGCCGGGTCTTATGTTTAAGTCTTTAATCCATCTGGAGTTAATTTTGGTGTAAGGTGTCAGGAAGGGGTCCAGTTTCTGCTTTCTACACATGGCTAGCCAGTTTTCCCAACACCATTTGTTGAACAGGGAGTCCTTTCCCCATTGCTTGTTTTTGTCAGGTTTATCAAAGATTGTATGGTTGTAGATATGTTGTGTTGCCTCCGATGCCTCTGTTTTGCTCCATTGGTCTATATTTGTGTTTTGGTACCAGTACCATGCTGTTTTGATTACTGTAGCCTTATAGTATAGTTTGAAATCCGGTAGTGTGATGCCCCCCGCTGTGTTCTTTTTGCTTAGAATTGACTTGGCTATGTGGGCTCTCTTTTGGTTCCATATGAAGTTCAAGGTAGGCAAGGACTTCATGAACAAAACACCAAAAGCGTTGGCAACAAAAGCCAAAATAGACAAATGGGACCTAATGAAACTCCACAGCTTCTGCACAGCAAAAGAAACAGTCTCTAGTGTGAATCGGCAACCAACAGAATGGGAAAAAATTTTTGCAGTTTACCCATCTGACAAAGGGCTGATATCCAGAATTTACAAAAAACTCAAACAGATTTACAGGAAAAAAACAAACAAGCCCATTCAAAAGTGGGCAAAGGATATGAACAGATACTTTACGAAAGAAGACATATATGAGGCCAACAATCATATGAAAAATGCTCATCGTCACTGGTCATCAGAGAGATGCAAATCAAAACCATATTGAGATACCATCTCACGCCAGTTAGAATGGCGATCATTAAAAAATCTGGAGACAACAGATGCTGGAGAGGATGTGGAGAAAAAGGAACACTTTTACACTGTTGGTGGGAGTGTAAATTAGTCCAACCATTGTGGAAGACGGTGTGGCAATTCCTCAAGGCCTTAGAAATAGAAATCCCATTTGACCCAGCAATCCCATTACTGGGCATATATCCAAAGGACTATAAATCGTTCTACTACAAGGACACATGCACACGAATGTTCATTGCAGCACTGTTTACAATAGCAAAGACCTGGAATCAACCCAAATGCCCATCAATGATAGACTGGATTGGGAAAATGTGGCACATATACACCATGGAATATTATGCAGCAATCAGAAATGATGAGTTCGTGTCGTTTATAGGGACATGGATGAATCTGGAGAACATCATTCTCAGCAAACTGACACAAGAACAGAAAATGAAACACCGCATATTCTCACTCATAGGCGGGTGATGAAAAATGAGAACACATGGACACAGAGAGGGGAGTACTAAACACTGGGGTCTATAGGGGGAAAAGGGGAGGGCCCGTGGGGGGGGGGGGTGGGGGGGTGGCATTGCCAGGGGAGAAATACCAAATGTGGGTGAAGGGGAGAAAGCAAACAAAACACACTGCCCTGTGTGTACCTATGCAACTGTATTGCATGCTCTGCACATGTACCCCAAAACCTAAAATGCAATAAAAAAAAAGAAGAAAAAATAAATAAATAAAAAAAAAAAAAAAAAAAGAATTAACTCTTCATCTGGGTAGATGTGTCCAGATCACTAAAACTCTGTATTAGCAATAATGCTGTTTTACTTACTTATCATTTGTATGTTCACAGGAATAGGACTTTTAATTTCCTTCAAGAACTTTCCTTTGCATTCTCAACTGGCTTAATGGTTTGGTTCAAGAGGTCTAGCTTTTAGCCTATCTTGGTTTTTGTCATGGTTTCCTATAGCTTACTTATTTCCAGTTTTGTTGTTTTGTTTTGTTTTGTTTTTGTTTTTGAGATGGAGTCTGGCTCTGTTGCCTAGGCTGGCGTGCTCTAGTGCACTCTTGGCTCACTGCAAACTCTGCCTCCTGGGTTCAAACAATTCTCCTGTCTCAGCCTCCGGAGTAGCTAGGATTACAGGCACCTGCCACTAGGCCCAGCTAATTTTTGTATTTTTAGTAGAGACCAGGTTTCACCATGTTGGTCAGGCCTCGGCCTCCCAAAGTGCTGGGATCATAGGTGTGAAGCACTGTGCGCAGCCATTTTAAACTTGATTTAATGTGTGAGACATTTACCTGTTCTTCACTTGAGCACTTAGATGCCATTGTAAGGTTATTAATTGGCTTAATTTTAATATCGTTGTGTTGCAGGGAATAGGAGGCCTAAGGAGAAGGTGAGAGATGGAGGAGCAGTTGGTTGGTGGAGCAGTCAGAACACACACAACATTTATTAATTTTGCTGTCTTATATTGGTTTTGACTGTGGAACCTCAAATCAGTTACAGTAGTAATACCAGAGATCACTGATCTCAGACTATCATAACAGATTTAATAATGATGAAGTTTGAAATGTTGGAAGAATTATCCAAATATGACACAGAAGCACGAGTTTATAGGTGAGCACATGTGGTCAGAAAAATGGCGCCCATAGAATTGGGCACAGGATTGCCAGAAATTTTCAGTTTGTAAAAATATGCTATATCTGCAAAGCACAGTAAAGTGAAGCACACAAAAATGACGTATGCCTGTATATTCAGAATCTTTTGGCAATGAGATATTCTGGATAATTTTTGTGAATGTGGTAAATTATAGAGGAATGATGTTATAAACTCAAGATAATTTGGGTCTGAGTAGTAATGAGTACCTCATAGGTGGTCAGAGTCATATGTATGAGCAGATAGTAACCCTGAATGTTAGTGTGAAACATTTTGGTCAGGCAGATCTCTTTAGATTCTGGAAAACAACAAATTCATAAATATATGAGGAGTATATGCACTGGGAATACTGAAATTAGTGAATGGGTAAAGGAAATCGGAGAAGAAAATGTTAAGGAGAGTGTAGTTTAAGATTTTGATGTTTTATAAAATATTGGTTCTTCTTAGCATTTGTCACATAAATTTCATCATTATTATTTTGCCTGTAGTCATTAACAGCTGAAGAGAAGACGACTACAGTAAAGCACCTTGAATTATCACCTAGACCCAAGCAAGGTAATACTATTTTGTTGATTTCTTGACAGAGAAGATATAAGATTATATTCTTCTGTGATTATTTTTAAAATTTGCTTTCTAAAAAAGTTATGTGGTTTGGGTAGACTGTATTCATAGTTCAAAACCATCAAGACAATGTAAAAAGGTATTTTTGAGAACTCTTTCATCGCTGTCACCATCTACTGCATTTCTCCTGCCCACCTACAGATTATTAACATTTTTTGTGTGTCCTTCCTGAGTTCATTTTTATCACAGAGCCCAGTAGGTTAGCTCATGCTCATAGCTCCAGGGTTTCTTTTTTTTTTTTTATTTTAATCTGATTTGGGAAAGAAATGTGAACTATAGCATAAGAACTAGACTGCTTCAGGCTATGAAATCCTTTCTTGATGAATTAGGAAACTTTCAAGCTATAAGAAGTAGAAAATTCTGTTCAAACACTTCAGTGTTTGGACAAATGAGGTTGCATTTGTGTCCTGCAGCAGGACATCCAGAGGGCTAGACTCTTTCTGAATTCTGTAGCCTGAGTGTGGAATTGGTTCTCATGGTCAGGAGGTAGTGGCTGAATTCTTTAAGCTGAATTCTTGGAAGAGTGTAGGTGCTGAGGATTTTCGCCAAATCCGCTCTGCCTTTCCTTTGGGAAGGAATGTCCTTCCCAGTATCTCTACCTTTGGCTAGAAGCTATTACACAGGGTCACCTCCATTAAAGATGCTTGAGTGAAATTAAGGATTTGTAGATTGGTATGTTGCTGCTAAAGAAAACTGGGGTTATTAGTAATGAAGAAGGGGTGGATATCAGGTAGGCTGCTGGTTCTGCTGCCACAGTGAGCCAGCCCTGCTGTGAGTGTGTAGGAAGAGTGAGGACTTGTGACTTACTGGATCCTGCTCTGTCCCGGCTCTATAATCTTTGAAAACTAAGCTAAACATTTTCTGTCTCAGTTTTGTATCTGGAGAATTGACATAATCATTGGGTTATTATGAATATTAAGTGAGCTAAGAAAAGTAGATAAAATGCTTAGTTAAAAGGTACTTGATTGAGGACAGCAGTTGCTTTATGTCTGATGGCAGAAAGAGCTGTGTGAAAGCCTCTTCAGAGTTCTGCAGAGTGAACCAACTTTCTGCGACATTCTAAACCATATTATTATTTCAGTGACATGGAAGGGGGTTCTTTTCTATGCAAACGAAAAACAAAATTTGCCAAAATATTTCCTTAAAATTCATAAAATAGTTTATTATGGAATAAATTGGTACACATCTTTTAAATACTACTTTTAAATACTATAATCTTTTGATGGAACTGCAGAAGCTGTTGGCAGAGACAAGACTCTGACCTTATGCACACATTACAAAAGTATGTTCCCCACTCTGCTTCCCAGCTGTCTTAAAAATACAACCGCCTCACCCAAAATATAGTGTAGAATTTTTATCTTGGAATATTTGTTAATAGGATTTCTTAAACTAATACTTTAGAAGCTACTGTTAAAAATGAACCAGTTCTAGGAAATTCCTCAAGTCCCTTTTTCTATCAATCTCTACTACAAATAGCAAGCCTTTATTAAGTTATTGACTACTTTTTTGCTTAACAAGCCGCATATATTATAAAGTAACTATACATTCATACAAGCTCTTTTAACCTTTCAGAATATATTGATCATTCTGTAGAGTAGAAGATACATCAGAGTATTGGTCAAATAAGTACTGGTATGGGAAAATCATCCAAAATATCATTTTGTTATTAAAGACAAGATAACAACTTATTTAGTATTTCTTTCTCAAATTGAATTTACTATACATATTTTAAATCTCCAGAAAAGATTCAAACCATATCTGTTTAAAGACAAATATTTTCCTCCCATATATTATAAAGGTTTAGAAACCAAATTAGCTTGATCTTTGAATATTACAGCATTTGGCACTATGAGAAAAGGAAAAAGTTAAAATTAGCTGGCTAATAAATAATTACTAACTTTATTATTATTTCTGGACCTGCCTTTTTTCCCACTGGACCACTGGCTTCTTAAGGGCAGACCCCATCTGTTGCTCATCTTTATATCCCAGCTGAACTAGTTCCCAAAGGTTGGATCACAGCCTTTGGAAGTACCACAAACTGTGGGTGGCTTAATCAGCAGAAACTCTCACAGTTCTGTAGGCCAGAACTCCGAAATGAAGCTGTTGACAGGGTTGGTTCCTTCTGAGGGCTGTAGGGGAAGAATCTGTTCTAGACCTCTCCTTGGCTTGTAGATTACTGCCTTCTCCTTCTGTCTCTTTGCCAGGTCTCTTCACATTGTCTTCTCAGTGCAAGTCTGTCTTTGTGTCCAGATTTCCCCTTATAAGGATACCAGTCATCTTGGATTAGGGCCCACCCTAATGATCTCACTTGAATTTGATTACCTCTGTGAAGACCTCATTTCCAAATAAAGTAGCATTCTGAGGTACAGGAGGTTAGGACTTCAACATATGAATTTTGAGGGGGACACCGTTCAGCTCATAACACCAGGTGCTAGGACAGTGCCTGGCACACAGTGGGTACACCGAAATGTTCAGTCTGGCTAATATCCATCCTACAGTTCCATTGAAATGAGCCTTAATCTCAAGGATACTCTCTTTTCAGCAAGTAAAATGAGTTACTAGTCAATTCCTGGTAGTGGTTTAAATTATCTAGTTGTTCATTCAGGTGCCTATAATTCATGGGTTTATAAATCTAGAGTCCTGTTCTCTGAGGTTTTGAATGACATAACTAATGATTATCCTGTCTTTTAAATTAGATGGTACAAAAGCACCAGTTACATATACATTCCCTTAGATACTCACACCAAACTAATGGTGAAAGCAATTGCAGGTCTGGCTGACTTGGGAGCTTTGCATAATGGTTAAGAACACGGACTCAGAAGCTAAGCTGCCTAAGTGAATCTCTCAGGCACCACAGCTGCTGGCGAAAAAGAGGCATTACATTTGGGAAGTCATTTCCAATGAACGACTCATAACCTAGAAACTGTATGAATAAAGCTGGTAAATTCACCTAAATACAAAGGGAAAAGCAGCATGGCCAAAATGACACACATAAGTCTGGTAGGGTGGCACACGTCTGTAGTCCCAGCTACTTGGGGAGGCTGTGGTGGGAAGATCACTGGAGCCCAGGAGTTTGAGGCTGCAGTGTGCTGTGATCATGCCTGTGTATAGCTGCTGCAGTGCATCCTGGGCAACATAGCAAGACCACATCTCTTACAAAAAATTGCACATGTATACACAAAATTTAAAATTCAGAAAAACCAGGGAAAACATTTGTGGCTCATGTCACAGACCAAGGCTGATATTTCTAATAAAGAACTATCAGAAGTTAATCTAGGGGAAAAAAGATAACTATTGTAAAAATAATGATTATGAAGGGTCTGTTTTCAGGAAACATAAATGATTTTCAAACATATGAAAAGATACCCAGCCTCAAGGGCACTGAGAGATCATTTTTTTCTGATCAGTTCATCCAAAATCTTAGCATATGTCTGTTTGTTCTTTTATGTTCTTTTGAAGTCTTTTAAAAATGTGTACTTTGGTTTTACATATCTTCTAAGTTTCTTATAGGTATTTTTTTTTTGCTACTGCTTTAAATTTGATTTCTGTATTGCAGCTTGTACCTTGCTGCCTTTATTGGACTTTCTTATGAATGGTAGTAGATTTTCAGTTGATTTCTTAACTTTTCCATGAATTCATTTTATAATTTGAAAATAGTGATAATTTTCTTTTTGACTTATTTTTCAGATGCATAACAATGATAGAGATTGATAATGTCTCTTGCAAGCAAGTACTCAGCTTGGTTTTATTAGCTATTTAGATAGATGTAGATTCTTAAGGATATTCTGAATAGTTTATTTTTCCTTTTATAACATGAATGATAGATAGGCCACTTCAGTAATTCTAGATGTTTGTGGCACAAAGTAAGTGTTCAGTAAATGTTGACTATTTTATGTTTTTGTGCCTTTGTAAGTACTGTTTTTTCAGACATCATCTTGTTAGTGAATCCTCTTTTCCTGATCAGTGCAAAGTAGAACATTCAGTTTTTTTTGTGCCACCATTATTCTATGACATACACCTGGTATAGTGTTAAGTTTTTTTCGTGATTAGTATTTCCTTCCAGATCACACATATTCCTTGTGAGAAGGAGTTTCCTTTTCTTTTTTAGAGACAGGATCTTACTCTGTTACTCAGGCTGGAATGCAGTGGCACAATCATAGCTCACTGCAACTTCAAACTTTTTCACTTAAATTTGTCCTCTTGTTTCAGACTCCCAACTAGCTGGGACTACAGGGATGCACCACCATGCCCAGCTAATTTTTAAATTTCTTATAGACAAGCGGTCTCACTGTGTTGCCTAGACTGGAGTTTTCTTTGTTTCTTCATGGCTTACTGTATCAGAGGGCTTCTGTAAATATATATCTAATGAAGCCTAAGTTTATTTTCTGTAAAACATGAATTTTATAAATATCTAATCTCTTAATTTCATAGTGTTTTGAAATGTGTTTTGAAATATGTCAAATACCATACCACATAGGATATGATATATATATGTGTGTACATACATCTTAGCATTATGTCTACAATTATGAATGTGAACAGAACAATTGATTTTTATTAGTTATATATTCTTCTTCTGATCAGTATCAGAAATATTTGCTGTTGACTTTTGATTATGCCAAGATGAAATAGCTCCATTCTGTCTAGGTTTTCCACCTATCAGAATGGCTACAATAAAAAATAGTAACAACACCAAATACTGGTAAGGTTGTGGAGAAACTGGATCACCAGTACATTGCAGGTATACAGAAAATGGTACAGCCACTCTGGAAAACACTCTGGCCGTTTCTTAAAGACTAAACATGCAATTACCATATAACTCAACAACTGCACCCGTAGGCATTTGTCCCAGAGAATGGAAATTAAATTCACATAAAATCCTGTACACAGATGTTCATAAGCAGCTTTGCTCATAATAGGCCCAAACTAGAAACAACACAGATGTCCTTCAGTAAGTGAATGATGAAACAAACTATGGTGCATAGTACCATGTATACTATTCAGTAATAAAAAGAAGATACGTGTTGATATACACAACTGAGATGACTATCTAGGAAATTATGCTGAGTGAAAAAAGCCAATCCTAAAAGGTTACATAGTGATTTCATTTATGTAACATTTTTTTTTTCTTTGAGACTGAGTTTCACTCTTGTTGCCCAGGCTGGAGTTCAGTGGCTTGATCTTGGCTTACTGTAACCTCTACCTCCTGGGTACAAGCGATTCTCTTGCTCCAGCCTCCCGAGTAGCTGGGATTACAGATGCTGCAACCGTGCCCAGCTAATTTTTTGTATTTTTAGTTGAGACAGGGTTTCACCATGTTGGCCAGGCTGGTCTCGATCATCTAACATTCTTAAAATGAAAAAAATTACAGAAATGCAAAACTGAGTAGTGGTTGACAGAGCCAGGAGATGATGTGGCAATTAAAAGGTAATACAGGGCATCCTGTGGTGATAGAATTGATCTGTAGCTTTTGACCGGATCAATGTCAGTATCCTGGTTGTGTTATACTACAGTTTTGCAAGATGTTACCATTGGAGGGACTGGGTGAAGGGACACAAGGATTTTCTCTGTTATTTCTTACATATAGTTGTATGTAAATCTACTATTATCTTAAAATAAAAAGTTTAATTAAATACAAGGTTTGCTGTCAAGTGTTCTATGCACCCTGCTCCCAGAGCTCTTAACACGGCAAAGGAAGCACACAGAGGCATTCCTGTTATTCATAAGTTTGACTGTGTTTTGCATTTGAAAAGATTTTTTTGTTTCAGCAAATATCCAAGGAAGTTATACTTTTATAAATGTTATTTCAAGTCTTACTTTTCCAGTTTTCTTTTGTGCTCCAGTCATTTTCCTTTTTTTATATAACTTAACCAGTTCTACTTCTTTTTCTTCTTGGAACTTAGCTTCAACTCAGAGAATGTTAGTGAGATTGTACATAGCACTTTAGGCAGGAAGATTTGATGTAGACATTCCTTTTCCTATCACAGAGTTTTGTGTATTTGTGACTTTGGCAAAATTACATGCATAAGATTGTATTCTGATAAATAGCCATATAAGGGGATCATGTTTATGTGCTTTCTTTTTCTTCAACAGAAACCAGCACATCTAAGAGCACCAATGAGCTTACAGACATTACATGGAGTTCCAGTGGAAGTGATTTGTCAGATGAAGATAAGACACCTTCTAAACTACAGAGAGATAATGGACATGGCTCTAGAATAAACAGATTTTGTAAGAGGAGCATTTTGTGTTCAGAAGATGGGGCCAGTGAAGATAAATTGATAATTTTGTTAGAAATCCAGTTTCTGTTAAATATTGGATTTAATATTGGGAGAAACTTACATTCCTTTCTAGTATTTATCATTAACATTCCACCTATCAGAATGGCTACAATAAAATATAGTGACAATACCAAATGCTGATGAAGTTATGGAGAGATAGGATCACCAATACATTGCAGGTACACAGTAAAATGGTACAGCCACTCTGGAAAACAGTCTGGTGGTTTCTTAGACTAACTATGCAGTTACCATGTAACCCAGTAAGTGTACCCTTAGACATTTGTCCCAGAGAATGAAAATTAAATTCCTTTCTAATAGGATTTTACTGAGTCCCACCCTCTGTGCTAAACACTTCAGAAACATTTTCTTGTTTGATATTTCTCACGGTAACTGTAAGAGATAGGTATTATTTTTATAGTTAACAGCTTAAGCTTGGACTTACAAGAATGGATTGGGATTCCATTTTAGGTCTCTTTTGCTCCATAGCCAGTTCCTTCAACTTCTACACAGTGCTACACCCATACTGCCTTCTTGCCACCCTGTTATTGTTGGGTAAATACTGTGACAACCACTGTGTGATAGAGGTGTAACACACTGACAAATTTCTATTTAGATGGTGTTTTATATTGTGTCATGTGTTAGATAATTTAAAGCAAAGTTTCTCATCCTTGACACTCTTGACATTTTGGGTCAGTTGATTCTTTGCTCTGGGGAGAAGCACCTTCCTATGCCTTGTAGGATATTCTGTGTCCCTGGCCCCTACCTTCTGGGTCATGGTAGCATCCCAGCCATAGGGATGATAAACAAAGATGTCTCCAGATGTTGTCAAGGGTATCCTGAAGTACAAAAATCACCCCTAGTTGATAACCACAGATGTAGAATTATGGGAATCATGTCTTTTTAGAAATTTTACAATATACAAATCATCTAGAGTATTTAAAGATCTTAATGTTTTCAAAATAAGCTTGCGACTTTTAACTCTGACAGTTCATGATAGGTTTGTACAGACAGCTTCTTGGGAGGGTAGTTAAATTCTTTTGACCACTTTGTATCTCATTGTAGTAATTCAATACCCTTGACATTTTAGTAGTTACCAGGTGGAGTGGTGTTTTAAGATTATGTATAAGCTGATAGCACCAGACACATTAAATGAAATTTATTGTTACGTAACCCTTGGTTTGTCTTCATACATTTCAGAATACAATTTCAGTAGTACAACTTTGTGCTTTTTATGGGTAAATACTATGGTTTGCAAATTATATCCCAATAAAGCTGGTATTTTTTTTTTTAAAAGTTTATCTTCTTCTATGAATAGGGACATTCAGTACTTTCTAAAACTCTTAACAGTGGAAAGATGCTTTGGGCTAATTACTTAAGAATGAGTTTATAGTACTTTAAAATTGTTGACTTATCTTAAAAAGTTGAGCACTAAGTGACAAGTAGGTGATCCCTTGGGGTTTGTGTAATTCTGTATACAGCTTCTGGTTTATCTTTCTCTTCCCCCAACTCCCCATCCTCTGCTCGTCTCCTTCCCGTCCCCACTTCTTCCTGCCTTTTCACATTTACTGGTTAACAGCTGTTAATATTTATCAAGTTTTTGTTTGACTCAGACATTTGACTGAGTGTCAGATATGCTTATTTCCTTTGATGTCTGCTGTATCTTGTGTGCTAAGTAGTATCCTCATTTTAGAGAAGAAATATGGGACTTACAAGTCACTTGCCCAGAGTCACACAGTTAATAAGTGTGCCAGCTGGTAACCAGAACCAGGTTTGTCTAACCTGGATGCCGTGTGCCTCAGCACTATTGTGGTGGTCACCAAAGCTGGCGTCATATCAGAATTACCTTGTGAGCTTTAAAAACAATATTCCTAATGCTGAATACAAGCTCAATATATAAAAATCCATTTTAATTTCATATGAGTAACAAATTATAGGACAGTTTTAAAAAATGTTATTTACATTAATGTAACAAATATAAAATGTTAGATCTAAAATACAAAATGTGTAAGATATTTAGAATTATGTAAAAGATTAACAGAAATTAAAATGGAAATTTAAAAAAAGTAAAACAATATTCCTAGTCCTTTTTGCAGTCCTGCTGGATTAGTCTCTGGACCTTAAGGCCTGGAATTGGGCTTGAGAAGGAAGAATCCTGACTTAAAATTTCAAAATATTTTTCTCTTAAAAATACTTTCCCTTCCTTTTTTTTTTTGGAGATGGAGTCTCACTGTGTCACCCAGTCACTCAGGCTGAAGTGCAATGGCGCATTCTCTGCTCACTGCAGCTTCTGCCTCTTGGATTCAAGTGATTCTCCTGCCTCAGCCTCCTGAGTAGCTCGTGTTACAGGTGTGCACCACCACACCTGGCTAATTTTTGTATTTTTAGTAGAGACAGAGTTTCACCATGTTGGCCAGGCTGGTCTCAAACTCCTAACCTCAAGTAATCTGCCTACTTTGGCCTCCCAAAGTGCTGGAATTACAGATGTAAGCTGCTGTGCCTGGCCTCCCTTCCATATGGTTTTTACCAATTATCTAAAAGTTTATAAGGGCCGGGCGCGGTGGCTCACGCCTGTTATCCCAGCACATTGCGAGGCCGAGGTGGGTGGATCACGAGGTCAAGAGATCGAGACCCTCCCTGGTCAACATGGTGAAACCCCGTCTCTACTAAAAATACAAAAAATTAGCTGGGCACAGTGGCGCGTGCCTGTAATCTCAGCTACTCAGGAGGCGGAGGTTGTGGTGAGCCAAGATCGTGCCATTGCACTCCAGCCTGGGCAACAAGAGTGAAACTCCGTCTCAAAAAAAAAAAAAAAGTTTATATAACTTTGGGAAAATCTTTTAACTTATTGGACGGAGACCCAATTTCCTTATCTGTAAAATGCAAATTTAAGTGTAATAGTAGTATTCCTGCTTTATAAAAGTTTTGTGACTATAAAAGTTTGGTGATGAAAGTCCCAGATATTTCATAGCATGTATCACATTGCAATATGTATTAATCTGTGGAGTACACCAGGCTAGGAATAGTGCTGTTTTCTCTCTTGTATTTGTTTATTTTGTATTGTGAGTATCTTGAATGGTGTGATGGGCTCTTTTTAGGCACTTGCTTTGTCTAATGAATGAATGAGTGCTTCACAGATTTGTGATGCTGGCAGCAGCTCTGAGGGCACTTGTGTTTTTCCCTTGTCTCTCCCTGGCTTCCTGTTGGGAAGGTTCAGCAATCTGGAGAATCTCTAATATGCTCTCCTCCCTGGCTTCCATGACTAAATATGATGTTAGTGTGGCAAGTAGTTGCCATTATGCATCTGCTTCTCTCAATAGTGGTCTGACCTTCGGTCTGTTATGATCATTATAGTGGCTGTTTTTTTAAGAGAAGAGGTCTTGCTCTGTAATGCAGGCTGGGGGAGGGGTGCAGTGGATCATAGCTCACTGCAGCTCAAACTCCTGGGCTCAAGTGATCCTCCTGCCTCAGCCTCCTGAATGACTGAGACTACAGGCACATGCCACCATTCCCAACTTATAGTGGACTTTTACTGCATCTTCTGGAACAACAATACTTTTTTTTTTTTTTTTTTGAGACAGAGTCTTGCTTTGTCTCCAGGCTAGAGTGCAGTGGCATGATCATGGCTCACTGCAGCTTCCTCCTCCTGGGTTCAAGCAGTTCTCCTGCCTCAGCCTCCCATGTAGCTGGGACTATAAGCGTGCACCACCACGCCCAGCTAATTTTTGTATTTTTAGTAGAGACAGGGTATCACCATGTTGGCCAGGATGGTCTTGATATCTTGACCTCGTGATCTGCCTGCCTCGGCCTCCCAAAGTGCTGGGGTTACAGACATGAGCCACTGAAAAGTATTAATACTTATTTTTGTTTGTTTATTTCATTCCATACTTTTTAGCTTATTTTTTTCTTTTTAAGTTTTAAATTCCCTTCAGGTATTACAGCTAGCATTTAAAAAAATATGTTACCAGCTGGCAGCCTATAATATCAGCACTTTGGGAGGCTGAGGCAGGTGGATCACAAGGTCAGGAGTTCAAAACCAGCCTGACCAACATGGTGAAACTCTGTCTCTACTAAAAATACAAAAATTAGTCAGGCATATTGGTGCCTGCCTGTAATCCCAGCTAGCTACTCAGGAGGCTGAGTCAGGAGAAAAGGTTGAATCAGAAAAGGCTGAGTCAGGAGGTAAGGTTGCAGTGAGCCAAGATTGTGCCATTGCACTCCAGCCTGGGTGACAAAGTGAGACGCTGTCTCAAAAAATATATATAAGCTCACTTCATTAGAAGTGAGATTGTTGCTATCACACCTCCAAATAGGACCAAGATATCTAATTAGCTTTCTGAGTTGCTGAAGTAATTCCTAGGGAATACTTGTGCTTTGTATCATAGGGAAGGTTTGTGTTATCCTACCTCAGAGACTAATTTATCTTTAATTACTACTTTATTTGTTTAAGCATAGCAGATTAGAATCAGTACATTTGGTTACTTAGTTTATAAAAATAATTTGAGTTTGATAAAATTTTGTAAATGCAGCACTTAGATAATGTTTATGAAGTAAACTAAAGGCGGAAGGACTACTACTATTACACTTAAATTTGCATTTTACTTTCGTTGTTTCCTTACTGATAGTAGAAATCCATCGAAAAAAATCATTAGGTGAAAATATGCTTGAAAACATATTTTCTAATAGAAGACTGGTTAAATAAACTATGGTTCAACTATGTAATATGGAATACTATTTGTAGAAAAGAATGAGGATACATCCTGCTTATTCGTATAGTAAGTTTTCTTAATTATGTTTAGTGAAAGAGTTTAGCTGTGTAAGAAAGGAGGAAAAAATAAAATACATAGTTTATTTGCTTAAACATGCTGGGGAAACTATACAAGGATACAGAAACACCTACTAAAAATAGTTAAAATTGGGGTTGGAATAAGATTTGGAAGAATCAGTGATTTGAGATAAGAGTAGAAATGTACTTTTCACTGTTTAAATTTGTTTTTCTTGAGACAGAGTCTCACTCTGTTGCCCAGGCTGGAGTTCAGTGGTATGATCTCAGGTCACTGCAACCTCCACCTCCCAGGTTCAAGTGATTCTGGTGCCTCAGCCACCTGAGTGGCTAGGACTATAGGTGTGTGCCACCATGCCCAGCTAATTTTTTGTATTTTGTATTTTTAATAGAGACAGCATTTTACCTTGTTGGCCAAGTTGGTCTTGAACTCCTGAGCTTTGGCATTCCACCCACCTCAGTCTCCTCCCAAAGCACTAGGATTACAGGCATGAGCCACTGTGCCCGGTCCTAAATATGTTTTTTAAAATTATTGAGTGACATGGATATGTTAACTACTAAGAATAAAAGATTTAAAAGTGAAAGGCTGTGGAGATATATAATTAAGTTTAAAAATTGTATTTTTTAGATGAATTACAGTTTTTTGACTGGGAGATCGACAGTGACAGGGCAGATGCTAGTGACTGTAATGAATTTGAAGATGGCGAGGGTGCTGTGGAAATCTCGGACTGTGCTTCTTGTGCGAGTAGTCGGTCTTTGACAAGTGATGAGAAGCTATCTGAGCTTCCCAAGGTAAGAATGAATTCTTTCAAAACTTTTATTCTGTTTATAACGTTTGCTAATCATAGTCGTCTTGAGTTGTTGTTTTTTTTTTCCATCCTTCCTCAAGAACACCCACTTTTGACTTGGGATTCTTTTGTTCTTTACCTGCTTATCTCTAAATAACATGCTTGTGCTGTACTTCCCAACATGGATAAATATAGAGCTTTCTTCTCATTCACTTCCCTCCCTCACTGTACACTGAACCTTTTTTAATCCTACCATTCTCCTAGTACAGATATATAGCTTGATTAGATTATATTCAGCATTTATACAATTGTGAATAAATAACATTGATAACCAAGGGAAATGCTAATTATCATTATTATCCTTTGCAGCCATTTGCTTTCCCTAGACTTAATAATTATTTTGGTTTTTGTTCATCTGGTTTTATTTATTGATGGAAAAAATACTTTTTCACCATTGCCTAGCTCTCTTTGTTAAGATTTTCAGACAGCAGGCATTCTGTGAGTTTCATTGTTTTGGAGAACTCTTTCCTACAAAGTCCTGGGGGCTCCAGTTTGAACTCAGCATCCTCTCTGCTTTTGTGTACATTGTCACTCACACTTTGCTGTCATTCTGGGAATTTATTAACTTCTCTCCTGGATGGAGCTCT